GTGATACTTTTCAACAAAACTTTGCAACTCATTCCACATTCCACACATGTCCTTAATCACTGAAGAAGGCACTTCATCCACTCCCTCTTCCTCCTTCTCTGAAGCAAGTTCCTCGGCTGTAGTCTGATGCTGTTCCAGTTGAAGCTCTTGCAGTTCGTCAGTGGTTAGCTCTTCCCTGTGGTCCTCCACCAACTCTTCCACATCCCCGTCACTCACTTTATTTACCAAAGGGCTTGCAGTAGCTTTCCTTGGGTCCATGATGACTTACTTAGCAGTTGCAAGCACAAAAAACAATGGATTATTATTATGAAATGTATTGTATGAACCCGCAGGGTGATGGTCACATGTTGGTAAACAAAGGCACACTGAGCGTGAATGGCGTGGGAGACTGGCTTTGTGTGCGTGGTGACGGGCGGATGGGTACCGGACAGTCGCCGAAACACCATTTTTTTCACGAAACTCGAGGCCAAATTTTTCAAAAAAAAAAAAAAACTCGCCGAAGGTCGAATTTCATGAAAGTCGAGGCTGCCGAAACTCGGAGGTCCACTGTAAATCCGGCATTTATGTCAGGAGGATCTGGTATGCTCCCTCTCTTTGGCAATGAGCTCTGTCCGATCTTTCAATGGCCCTTGGGCTTGCCATCCCAATTGCTTGGTGGATGTCGCACTGACTCGCCTCCAGGTTGGGCACTCATGACTGGCAGCTCATCTGCACTGCCTTCAGATGACGGACTCTCCATACTGCTCATGGTGTCCTTCACAGCGTGAGATGGTGGACCACTTCCTACTGTGGTGCTCACGTTACCACTCTGCACAGACTATGCTCCATGCAGCCTTGCATACGTGAGGTACAATTTTTAACCTTACCTCTCCTTCTCAATGGGGAGGGGTTTGACCTTCCAGACCATCAGGAGATCTTGGGTTGTACCTGCACGTTCTTGCTGGCTTCAGGGCGCATTAAGGACATATAATGCGCAGTTATTAGTCAACATCCTTCCACTTCGGTTGAGGTTCCTTTTCCGAGCGCTGGAATGCAGGGCTCAGTACAGCGTATACCGTCAGTGGCCTTATAAACCCCAGCAACAACAACAAGTAGCAAGATATACCTGTTATCCTGCATGTTTGTCAGACAGAAAAAAGACACCAGTGATCCTACCATCATGTAAAACAATTACAGGTTTCCATTTCACATTCACTTGGCAGGATAGTAGTACCTCCCTGGGTGGTTGCTGTCTACCATCCTACTACCTAGAAGCCATAAATTATAATTATTAAATCTGTGGTTATTCACTCATCTCTACCAAACAAATGTGAGCCGTTTACATGAATAAAATGAAAATACACAAAGTATTAATGCATTTGGTAAGAAAACAATTGAGGAAATACATTTAAAATAATTTGTTTGAATATTTTCAATGATCATAACTGGAGATCAGTGTTCACAAATAATTTATTGATCCCCAAGTGCCAAAGTCAAAAGTGCAAAATGCTGAATGCTGGAATGTCATAAGTTAGGGCCCTACTATACTTTTAAAATGTCTTTTGCCATTTTATTTTTTTCTGTTAGAACTAAAGATTTATTAGCTTGGTTAATAAATATTTTCAGCACAGCCTCTTCTCACTTAATGACAGAGTTCTGTCTCTAAGACCACGTCAGTAAACGAATTCGTCGCTAAGCAAGGGTTATGGGTTTGTGTCAACCATCATTGATATTGTTTTAATTGTCAACTTTGCACCATTTATAACATTTCTGGTATATTTTTAAATGTTCATACGGTAGTGTACTGTATATTGTAATAAGCAGAATAGAGGAAATAAGCTCTAATATACATTATTTAGGTATGCACACTGGTCAGAGCCTCTCATAAGTCCATGTCATCGGTAAACGAGTACGTCGCTATGTGAGGAGAGGCTGTATACCATATTTTACAACGAATAAGATGCTCCATTGTTGAGGATGCCCCTCAATTCTGACTGGCTAAATTTTTGGAAAAAAAAAAAAAGGATAGTATTCTTGATAGTAAAGTTATGTTAAGCCTGAGGCATTACATATAAAAACACGTGTTGATGGTTCATTTAATGGTTATTTACTACTCATGCAGCTGACTGGCAGGTGTGCCAGACGAAATTTTCAAATAGCACTAGACTCTTGCCTTATGTTAAGCATTAGGTATAGTCTGCCTGAAATGCCCGGGATGATAGTGGCTTTCTTTGTATGTACTTAGCAAATTAAAATTGTAATTGCACATTGTAAACTATGCAAAGAAATAAAATCCTTAATCCTTAAAACGAGCTAAAAGATGCTACATTTATGTGAAACAGCACTAAAAAAATGTGCCAGTATACAGGTGATTATTCTAGATCTGCTAAATGCCAATCCTGAGCTTAAAAGGTTCTTATATCCAGAACTGTCAGTGTAATGTTCTTTGCAAATTAACTTAAATGGTCAATTACTTGTAATGAACATTGTTCAGCAATGAATGAAGACATGTTTCCCTCTTCTTACATCATCACTTATCTGTTCAAATTAGTAAATTTATTTAGGCGCAGGTAAACACAAATACAGTTACAAAAATTATCATGCATATTACATATGTGTAAATTACCTGGGATAACCAAAAAAATATCAGGCAAGTGATTTATTTCCATTGTTCGTCTCTGTGTAGTGAATGGTTCTTCATTTGTGCTTGACAGTATTTTTGTGTCTTTCATGGTCACTCGATTTAGCTGCAAATGAACATTTGCAAGTCACTATCATTCATGTGAGTCACATTCAGTATGTGAACTGGACCTGACTGGCCATCTTCCCTTTCTATTCAGTGTCTTGAGGCATGAAAGTGAATGTGTCTACGGCTAGAAATGCATATTGATTTGTAATTTTTCCCATGTGTTTTAAAAATATTTCATGTTCTTAAATTTATTGATTTTACTATTAATGAGAGTACATTTGTACCGCAACATGACCAAAACAAATCACAGTGTGCAAATGGCTGCATTTGTGTATTACTTCTGTATACCGTTATGTATCATTATTTGAACCCCTTTAACATACCACAATTTTCTTTTTTTCAACACACTGGCCACATCCCACCGAACCACAATTTTACATTTGCGTTTTATATTTGATAATATTCCCTTATATATATTAGGATTGTTTGAGGTCAGTAAAAGTATTATTACCGGGTGGTTTGATAGTCAACAAGTGAATTATCCTACTGATACTACCTGTAATCCATCCAACTCCCTTGCCTGGTTTACCTAGCTTATCAATGCTAAGTGTCAGCAGATTTTTATGATTACATATTTGTGATTATTTTTATCTCTTCATTATTTTATAAAAAATAGTTTACATGATTCATTATTGGTTCATAAACAGGAGCTTCTCTAGGCTTTGTTTGAGGCCTATGAACAGCTTAACCTATGGCCTCCACAACACTGGGTAAATTTTCTAGACTTATTTGGGGAAATAATAGCATCTTTGATGCTGCAAAATATAGTAAACCAAGAGTCATGTTTTAATAGATGTTCAGTTAAACCTCAGTTATCAGTTGCATTACTTGTCGAATAAATTGGTTTTCAAATGAAGTGTTTGAGAAAAAATGTCCTAGTTTTCATACATTCTCCTGATTGTCGACTGACAAATTTCCGTGTGTATGGAACGCGATAAAGTGGCTCAGGAAATGTGTGCTAAATGGCATGAAGTGCAGGAGTTTGCTGAAAAAATACGATCCAGACAAAGCAGTGGTCATCCATTTCTCTAATATGTGCAATGACAGTATAATGTCTCAATTTAAACAAATGTTAAAATGGAGCCTGACACAAACCTCACTGGACAGGTTTTTAGTGAGACAAAGAACCAGTGTTCCCAGAACAAAGTGTTACTGGTGAAAAGAGAAAGAAGAGAAAATGCCAGAACAGTTGCCTGACATATTAACCCTTACAGGGTCAGTCATGTACACATAAGTCTTAACAGCCAGGGTCAGTCATGTGCTTATACATGTAAATTCTTGCGGCTTCAAATCGAACAGGAGAAAGCTGGTAGGCTTACATGTGAGAGAATGGGTCTGCGTGGTAAGTGTGCGCAGTAGGAAAAAAATCAGGGCACCCACATTGCATTGTGGGAATGCCATTTCAGTACACCTCACTCCCCAGCAAATTGGGACTCATATTTTCCTAAGTGACAATTCTAACATAGATGGAAGTATCAGTGAAGATGAATTTCGTAGTTTTGAAGAGTTTGTGACCGAAAACAATACCCAAGAAACCAGAAGGAAGGAATGAAGGAAGAAAGGAAGGAAGAGATGAAGGAAGAGATGAGAGGAAGGAAGAAGTAGGTAGGTAGGTAGGGAGGAAGGAAGGAAGGAAGGTAGGTAGGATGACCCAGATGACCATCAACCTAGTATAACCCTAAAAAGTCAGTGACTTATTTCTATGTTGGTGGTGGGGTGGGGAAGGGATGTGTGTTGGCGAAGGCAGTGAGGGTAGTGAGTGATGGTGTAATGTATCATTGTGACACCAGCCACGCCACTAACTAAGCATATTTATAAGTCCATCCACACACATCAATAAGCTTCCAGAAGCTCTAGCAGTTCTAGGAACATGTCCAGTGACTATATGTGTATACATATGATAGAAAAGTAGTGACAAACAACATTTTTTATTGTTGATTTATGTAAACATGTTTTGTAAACAATATAACGACAACAGTGTTTCTGCGGTTATTGTGTAGCATACAATGAGTGAATATACATATAATATACCTTATGTTAGTCTCACAGGCCATAAAAGTTACTTGAAAAAATAAAATGTTAAAAAATAAGAGAAAAAAGTAGAAAAAAAGAAAATGTAAGATTACCTCGAGCCCGCAGTCGGCAGTGTTGCCTCTTATATCTCGGTAAGTATTGATCGCAATTTTTTTTTTATTAAAACACTTACAAAATTATACTCAAGATTTTGGTAAGATTTTTTTTTTTTTTTTTTCAAATATTTTTTGACCCTCAGAACGAGTACAGGATCAAGGGTCTCGACCCTCTTAGGGTTAATAGAAGGTGATTCTCCTTCCAAGCTGTAACATCCTCCTCTCCACTACCTCATGCTTCTGACAGGTAAGTTAAATTTTCATTAACTGTAAAGTAGTATTTCAGATAAATTTTCATTTAGCATTCATTTTACAGTTTCCCTGTGCTGTATAATTTTATACGTTGTCCTATGTAGTAGTTAGTACATTATTGGCCCTTTGACTGTCACGACCCCTGCTCATAAACTTGCTCTCAGTGTCAAAGAATTTATAAAAAATATTTTTTCTTTTGAAATGATAGAGAATCATTTCCCGATGGTAATGACACCAAAAGTGTGAAATTTGATTGAAAACTTACAGAATTACGCTCTTGCAAAATTGCGATCTCGGTGATATTTACACATTGGCGATTTTGCCCATTTTGAGCCCTATTTTTGGCCAATTCTATTGTTCCGATCGACCAAACTCATAGCTGTTTCTTTAGAACCGATTTCAACTACGCAATAAAGTGGTCAGAAATTGGCAATTTGGCCAATTTCACACAAATTAAAAAGATGCCAATTTCAAAATAGGGTCCAGAATGAACAATACAGACATTCCTGGCACTAAAATAACATTTTCTCTGTTCATCAGTCATGTCTCCAGGCCCTTCTTATATTACTCCTGCTTTCTATTTTGAATTTTTATTTTCACAAAAAATAGAAGATCTGCTGTTATGCAGACTACTGCATTATTGTAATAATTTTATAAATAATGTCAACCCATTTGTGACTGCATATTAGAATGGCTAGTTGGACACTTATTGAACAGTGATGTCATTTGTTTACTCTTGAACATTGGGGAAAATTGAACATTTCTGCTACTTTGAGCTCAATTTCAAGATCCTTTTCATTGTGAAACCAATCAAAATCATCTCTTTTTCTGTAATATGTCTTCCATTCTATCAAATGAGACCATGAAAACAAAAATACAATAATACACCTCAAAGTCGGTGTTTTGATCCAAAAACACGATCGGAGTTTTTTTTTTTTATACCGCACACACTGACCACACAGACCCATTCTCTCACATGTGGGCCTACAAGCTTTCTCCCACTTGATTTGAAGCCGCTAGAATTTTGGAGTATAAATACGTCAAAAACACTGCCTTGTAAGACGTATATATACGACCGAAACAGTCAAAGGGTTAATATATTGTCATTTGAGATCTGGAACGAATTAATTTTATTTACATTATTCTTTATGGGAAAAATTGCTTTGGTTGTCGTTGATTTTGGTTGTCGAATCGACATCTGGAACGAATTAAATTTGAAAACCGAGGTTCCGGTGTACCTACAGTAAGTAGTATGCAGTATTAATAATGAATCTGAATGAATTGTAGATATGAGCAAATCTTCATGAAGTTCAGTAAGCTTTATTTGTATTAAAGGAATCAGTTATATAGAACACACACATTTCATGTGCATTAACCCTTTGACTGTTTCAGGCCCCTCTCTGAAACTGTCATTCTATGTCGCTCAATTTTTGAAAAAAAAAAATTATTTTTTCTTATGAAATGATAGAGAATCTTTTCCCGATGGTAATGACACCAAAAGTTCGAAATTTGGTCGAAAACTCGTGGAATTATGCTCCCGCGAAGTTAGTGGTCTCAGCGACATATGCGCATCGGCGATTTCGCCGACTTTGAGCCCTATTTTCAGCCAATTCCATTGTTCCAGTTGACCAAACTCATAGCTATTTCTTTAGAACTCCATTTTATCTATCAGCTGAGTACAAGAAACCTCCCATTTACTAATTTGGACTACCCAATATGGTGGTCAGAATTTGGCAATTTGGCCAATTTCACGCAAAATAAAAAAGATGCCAATTTCAAAATAGGGTCCAGAATAAACAAGGTAGACATTCGTGGCACTAAAATAACATATGCTCTGTTCATTAGTCACATCTCTAGGCCCCTCTTATATTATTATTGCTTTCTATTTTGATTTTTTATTCATACAAAAAAATACAAAATTTACTGTTATGCAGACGACTGCATTATTGTAAAAATGGTATAAATAATATCAGTGCACTAGTGAAAGAATATTAGACTCCCCAGTTGACGTGTATTGGACGTGTGGTGTGATTTATTTACTCTTGAACATTGGTAAAAATCGAACATTTCCGCTACTTTGAGCTCAGTTTCAAGGTCGTTTTCATCGTAAAAGTAATGAAAATCATCTCTATTTCTGTAATATGTTTTCCATTTTATCACCTAAGACCATGAAAACGCGAATACGACGATAAATACTATACGAAAATACACTTCAAAGTCGGCGTTTTATTCCAAAAAAAAGATCAGAGTTTTTTTTTTCTCATTACGCAATGTGTGCTGCAGGATTTTTTTTATGTGGTGCACACTGACCACACAGACCCATTCTCTCACATGTGGGCCTACCAGCTTTCTCCCACTTGATTTGAAGCCGCTAGAATTATTGAGTATATATACGTCAGAAACATTGGCTCGTAAGACGTATTTATACGTCGAAAACAGTCAAAGGGTTAAACACTAGTATAATTTGGTACAATTCATAGATTGTTGCAAAACATTTATTATGCTCTAGATGTAGAAAGTTATAGTAGCAACTCTTTGCTCAACCAGGAGGAAAGGTTCTTTAGATGACATTACAGGCAATTCGGGCTTAATGAGCGAGTTCCTAAGAGAAATACTTTGTGTGCACAAGAGCATTACAAGTTTCCTCGAAGTATTGCATGTAAATTGAGATCCAGGGGAAATTTTTTTAAACCTTAAAGCATATGAACAAAAATGGGAAAATAACAGAACAATAAATATGTAATATATGTATGTAGTGATATTATGTAATATACTGTGTATTACATGTACTGTATAATTTATTTTTTCAAGTGTTAGAAAACCCTTAATAAATGATAAGTGAAGAATTGTAAAGTAAACCTGTTACAAATGTTTAGTTTTGATGTTAAGCTGCAAGTGCTGCAGGGAATTTTATATGGCCATTTTAAATTAACTATGGCTCTTGTGGTGTTAATGTTGAAGTTGATTGCATGTTAATGTTATGTTAAAGTAAAATACATCATCAATGTATTTGTAATTACTCGCATGCATTAAACATGTCATTTATAGTGGGTAGGACGAAGTAGACATGAACACATACCAGTTTATAAAAGGATAAAAAGACTGTCAACAGTGAAAACAAGATATCATCGCTGGAAATTTCTTTGCAGACATTGGCGGCAGAGCAATAGAATGAGTTTCTAGAGGAGTCATTCAGTGCTGCAACCATTAGAGACAAGATATATATATAAAAAAAAAAGCTTGGCTCTGTTTCTGTAACTAATATTAAATACAGTAATTTTTGATGGTGACATGCACCACTTCTGACTAGCAGAGGTGATGCATGTCACCATCAAAATAGTGAGTGACATAATGTTAGATCTTTGGTCACACAAGATCACACATTCCTTACACAAATTTGTTACTTAGTATCTATCAGTCATTAAAGAAATGATGATACAGTAAGCCTTCATAAAGCTGGTGCTACCTGTAACATATGTTGTCTAACTTGCTGTCAGCCTCCAATGTTTATTTCCTCTCTTGACGCTTTGCTTTTATATATTTGCTTTATGCATCACTTGTTAACATTGTACATTAAATAAATAATTTAAATTTACTTTTCTGCTACAGCTTTTATTGCCTATTTCAACTGTTTATAGTGTATTTTCATACTGCAGTAATGTAGCAAAGTGCAGTGCTAATAATAAAAAATTACTGCTACAATAATTAGGCAACCCTGAAGAGGTACCTTTTAGGTGGTTACCTGATTTACTCAACATTCTCCCCCCCCCCCCAGTCCCTTTCAAACTTTCATTTATAACTTGAAAAATCAACAGATCAGCCTCAGATTTTCAACACTGCTTTACTGTGTGGGGAAAATAGTTCATGCAATTAGTATTGGCATGTGCATGTTTCCTTTGGTCACTGTTACACAGAGCAGTCTAAGATTTGTGGAAAGGGTCCAAAAAATTTTAAAAATTCTCCTGATTGGCTTCAACACTGGTGTATCAACTTAGATGAAGGTGGATAGTGTACTGAAATGTGTACAGTGGAACCTTGGTATGTGACCAGCTCCCTACTCGAACAAAGCCCAGCACTTGACCAAACAAATACAACCTGCCAGAACTTTGCTGTAAGCTATTTCATGTTTCTTTTTTTTTTTTTTTTTTTTTTTGTATAAATAAGTCACCATGGGGCCAACGATGATTCTTGATGATAGTTAACCAAACAGAAAATTGGTTTGGAAGAATTTGTTCGATACTCAAACGGAGCGGCACTCGAACAGTCTACTGGAATGAATTGAGGTCGTATACTGAGGTCATATACTGTATGTAGGAGCACATTTGCTAATTTTATGCATAAAATACTTTGGAATTTTTTCCTTTTAAATCACATTAAGTATACATTAAGTATCTCTTGAATGGCTTCAATCTTTAATGGCTAATGCATTTTAAAAATAAGATAACATGCAGTAAATTTAATTTGTTTAGGTGTAAATTTGACAATTTGCTAACATAGTTAAAAACTTAGAATCATTGGATTCTGAGCCGTAACTGGAGAATGCCTCTTCTGATAGCCTTCAAACTTTGTCATGGTGGACTTTGTTAACAGAAAGTTTAGCATTTACTTTAGCCTGTTTAAATTTTAATTTGTGAGTTTTATTAACACTTAAACTGTCTGACATATCTCTCTACATCAGGGGATCAGGCTGTCTGACATACTCTGTATATCAAGGGACCAGGCTGTCTGACATACTCTGTACATTAAGGAGCTAGGCTGTCTTACATAACTCTCTTCATCAGGGGACCAGGCTGTCTGACATACTCTGTGCTTCAGGGGATCAGGCTGTCTGACATATTCTGTGCATCAGGGAACAAGGCTGACATACATTGTATGCCTAATTTTTTGTGCTTTCAGATTTGCTGTGTGCAGCTATTTTTATGTCTTGGCTCAACTGTTTGATTGCTAACCAAACAGCTGAGAAAAATTTTTAGGTTCTGGTGGGTATACACAGTGTATAATAGGCAACACTACTTCAGTGTCACATGTAAACAACAACAATGCTGACCTTTCCTGCCAGCAAACAAGGTATGAAACCAGCAGGAATATGGCATACAGGTCTGCCATCACAAATCCGGCATCATTGGGACTTGTAGTGTGCTGGATTATTGAGTTTACCAGATTACAGAGTACCTAAGTTAGAATACACTTAACCCTTTGACTGTTTCATTGGTATATATACAGTGGACCCCCACCTTACGATGGCATTGCGTTACGTTAAATCCGCCATACGATACATTTTAACGCAAAAATTTTGCCTCACCTCACGATAAAAAACTCGCCTTACGCGATTCATCCGGGACGCGTCCCACATGTGGCCTCAGCACCAGTGTTTACAACCCAGCCAGTGCGGTCGCATCTACGCATACATTCAGTACATTTCACATTATCCCAGTGTTTTTAGTGCTTGTAACTGCAAAATAAGTCACCATGGACCCCAAGAAAGCTTCTAGTGCCATCCCTGTGGTAAAAAGGGTGAGAATTAGTATGGAATTGAAAAAAGAGATTAAGGAAATGTGTGCAAAGTGGGTTGAACTGCAAACCTTTATGGATGAAAATCACCCTGACACAGCTACTGCAAGCCATGTTGGCAACCTGTACAATGACAATGTTATGGCCCATTTTAGGAAAGTCTTAAAGGAACGGGAGGTACAGAGCTCTATGGACAGATTTGTTGTGCGACAGAGGTCCAGTGACTCTCAAGCTGGTCCTAGTGGCATT